CCCCAAAACCCCAAAACCCCAAAACCCCAAAACCCCAAAACCCCAAAACCCCAGTTTTTAACAATTAGATTGCAAAATTAACAGTTAGCTTTTAAAAATGGAAAATCTACACGCTCGGACTTATAGTGACCAAAACCAAACACAAGAAGTCTTAAATGACTCTGTTTTAAGCTTTGCAAGACCATTCGAAGCAGGTAATCAGTCTCACATAAAACTTCCTTCTCATCATTCAAATGCTCATTTCTTGTTCCACCAACCTCTAATCCTCAATGCTCAGTCTCTTACTATCTTTGCTTAGAAACCTCCTATGAGGTCCTGACAGACCATACGAATCTAATCCAGCGAAGTCCTACAAATTTGGCTTTGCCTAGCCACCAAGAAGCATCACGGGTTTATAATCGGTAAGCAAGACACTCTGCATAATTAGTCTGACTCTTTAGACTGAAAGAGAGATATTGGTACCTCAAAACTCTCAATGAAGCTCAGATGCTAAGCGAGACTGACCAGCAGACTTCGAATGTTCTTGGAGAAATCCTTAAGCAGACTTTAATAGATATCAAGTCGATCATGGTCCAATTTGATGGCCAAAAGGTGTCTAAAAAGGCATCTAGCATACTCAAGTACTTTTTGCACTAATCCCTAGATGATCTACTCAGAAAAGCAAGCCTAAAAATTTGAAAGTAGTCATTAAGAAGAACTCTGAGCATCTAGAGGACTACTCTCAAAGTGTCAAGAGTAAGTCAAGGTATGACCCTTTAGATAAGGTTAAGAAGAATCTTAAAAAGATTAGCCAGAAACGTATTAGAGAAGGTATATTTTTACTTTGAGTCTTACTAAGAATTGGGGTTTAATCCAAATAGCTGAGAAATAACAAAACAGACAAACTACATAGTTCTTTAGCACATCAGAATTCAGTAGTTTCTGAACTTCAGAAGAGTAATAAACAGCCACTGACAGGGTTCTCAAGTTTCTTAAGTCAAAGTTATTCACAAGAGCTTGGTAAGTAAGGTTATTCATTCCTTTAGACCAATCTCTTAAAAAGTCTGCCAAACTTAAAGCTGACGCGCAAGTTATAGAGAGTTATAAGGATTCTAAGACTCATAGCAAAACTTTTGTAGTCAACAGAGATAAGTATGGTAACTCAATGGATATATCATGAGGAATAGACTTATCTAAAGTTTACTCTAAAGCTTAGCTAGTGCAATAGGCATCTTCATTGATCTCGTACTTCTGCTAGAAAAGAGTTTAGTTAAAACTTATGTCCATAAGTTTTCAAGAAAATTTTACTTAAAAATACTGTTAGATACTTTGAAGTAAATTTCAGATGTTTATCTTGTGAGAATTTTGGTTGGAATTTATTAAAAAGCCTTGGCTGAGCAAATAAACACTGTATACAAATTTTTGATAGATAGCAGCACAGAGTCTGGAAGGTCTTCTTCTCCATGGGTTAGATTCAGCAAAAAGAGCATGCATAAAAGCGAGATTGATATGTTTACTCCAGTGAGTCTTAACTCAACTGGAAATTACAAAGACATTGTAAAATTGAAGCCTAAGAGCTATAAACCTACTGGCAATTTTACAGGTCCTATTGAGCTTAACACTCAGTATAAAAGTATAAGGGAGAAGTTAAAAAAGACCGTCAGGAAGCCACATGTAAACATGGTGGTTTGTATTGCGGATAACTCTCTGTAGTCAGAAGTTTCCCTCGAATTTCAATAATTTAAGAGCTGAATGGGGTTTTGGGGTTTTGGGGTTTTGGGGTTTTGGGG